CTCTTCCTTATAGCAGTTTGGGCCTTGGAAGTGGTTTCTGCAACTCCTGCAAAGAGAGGACTTTGCAGGTAGATGAATTCATATTAAGTTCTGAGACCAGTTTTGTCTATAAGAAGATTGAGTACAGTGTTCAAGATTTTATGTATGTCCAACCTCAGTTTTTTGCTGAGGGAAAGGAGGAGGATCATGGGACTTTTAAGGCTGGTAGAAATGTAGGACTAAAAGCCTATGTAGTATGTCAAATTCTGGAAATTCAGGCTCCTACAGGGTCCAAGAAGCCTACTACAGAATCAACAAAGGTGAAAGTGAGAAGATTTTACAGACCAGAAGATGTTTCATCATCAAAAGCCTACAGTTCTGATATTAGAGAAGTAAGTCTATCCATGATAATCTTATTTTTTTAATAAAATTATGCAATGCATGGACAGGTGATATGGACAGCATAATATAGATGTGCCAAACTCAGTAATCTTGAAAGAAAGGACAGTAACATGGAAATGACATGATGATTAATGAATATATTTTCTTTTACATTGTTACATCTTTATCCATGAGGAAGTATTTTGTTTAACATGGATTGTTTATGTTGATACTAATGTGCTATTTATGACACATCACAATTATTATTTTCAGAAAAGTAGTTCTAACACATAAAAACATTGGCCTTTATTTTCATTACTGTTAAAGGTCCAAATTTCTGAAAATAATACAAGCACTACACAGGTGTTGGAAGAAGTATAAAGTCTATTTTTTTTTCTGGTGTATTTGCTGAAGCATATGATACATGTTAGGAGATACCCAACTAGTATTGATGGCAAATACAAGCACTACACATGTTGGAAGAACTATGAAGTCTACTTTTTTTGGGCTAATTATAGATTATCTCATGTAATTAGCTACTTTTAGCATCTCGGTTTTTATACTTTCAAAAGTTATATTAGGATCTATATACTTATGAAAGTGAAACATTTAATCTTGTTTCTTTTCATGTTATTGACTTTACTGACAAAAATACCATATGATTTACTACTGAGCATGTGTTGACTTTGCCTCACTTTGGTTTACTGCTGAGCACGTGCAATATTTCTGTCAGCAGAGTCGATGACATGAGGAGAAATAAAGTAACATGTTTTACTTTTGTAATTATAGAGATCCCAATATAACTTTTGAAAGTATAGGGTTTTGAGATACTAAAGGTAGTTAATTACAGGGATTAATCTATAATTAGTTTATTTTTTTTAGATATGCTCGTTTGCACAAATTAATATAGCATGTCAAGGAGCTATATATATTAGCAGCTGATTTTCATCTTGACAAAGCTTATTTTACCAATGTATTTCTCATGGGTGGTGAATTCAGGTGTATTACAGTGAGGAGATACTCACTGTTCCTGTGGAAATGATCAAAGGAAAATGTGAAGTGAGAAAAAAGGTCGACCTACCAAACTTGGAACTTCCTGTGGTCCTTGATCATGTATTCTTTTGTGAATATTCTTATGATCCTGTTAAAGGAACACTCAAACAGGTAGCATGTTTTCTTCCATCTTGATATATTTCCTTCATACCTTATTTTCACTCATCCTTCTCTAGTTGACCAAATGTGTTCTGCAATCAGTTACCTGCCAAGACAAAGCTAACATCATTGGCAAGAAAGGCAGATCCATATACTTCTAGAAAGAAAAAGGGTAAGGAGAAGTGTGAAGACAATCAGCAGAATTTTTCTGACAAACGGAAGGATGAACCTTGTGAAAACCGTTTGGCAACTCTCGACATTTTTGCTGGTTGTGGTGGCTTGTCAGAAGGATTGCAGCAATCTGGTAAGCCTTTCAGTCAAGTTCAGAAAGCAAGGAATATATGAAACAAATTATCAAATTATATTTAAATTTGCAGGTGTTTCATATACAAAGTGGGCAATTGAATATGAACAGCCTGCTGGTGAAGCATTTAGTGAAAATCATCTGGAAACCTTGATGTTTGTAGATAATTGCAATGTTATTCTCAGGCAAGCTTTTGCTGTCTTACAACTCTGTGCCTCTGTAATTTGCGAAAGGTTAATAAATGGTCCATCAATGGTCATGCAGGGCTATTATGGAGAAGTGTGGGGATGCAGATGAATGCATCTCAACATCTGAAGCTGCTGAATTAGCTGCTGCATTTGATGAGGAGAAGCTTAAGAATCTGCCAGTGCCGGGTGAAGTAGATTTCATCAATGGAGGGCCTCCATGTCAGGTCTAAATTTTTCTGAATTTATTGACAACCATCTTGTTTTAGCTCTGGGAAGATGATGCTCTTGCTACCATGATTGGGTTGATAATGTAAAGTTAATTTTCCTTTTCTTTTCAGGGATTCTCTGGGATGAACAGATTTAACCAAAGCACTTGGAGTAAAGTTCAATGTGAAATGATTTTGGCCTTCCTATCATTTGCTGAATATTTCAGGCCAAAGTTTTTTCTTTTGGAGAATGTGAGGAATTTTGTGTCTTTCAATAAAGGGCAGACATTCAGACTGACTCTTGCTTCCCTTCTAGCAATGGGTTATCAGGTACAAGTCTTTTTCTCGTTATCTTGGTAACTATTACCTACAAAAGATTAATTTCATATTCTTAATTCTTGAATGTTGACATGGTTTCCTTATTTTGATCCGAACTGATGTTTCAAAATCTACTGCTGGCTTTTGTATTCTTTGCCGCTGTGCTTCTTTAGGTAAGGTTCGGAATTCTGGAAGCTGGAGCCTATGGTGTCTCCCAATCAAGAAAAAGGGCATTTATTTGGGCTGCTTCCCCAGAAGAGATTCTTCCAGAATGGCCAGAACCTATGCATGTATTTGCTGGACCGGAACTGAAAATATCGATGCCCATGAATGTGCAGTATGCTGCTGTTCGGAGCACTGCTGGAGGAGCTCCATTCCGTTCAATTACTGTAAGGGACACAATTGGGGATCTTCCTCCAGTTGAGAATGGGGCTTCCAAATCTACCATTAATGTAATTTTTTGGCCTCTAACCTTTTGTGTTATTTATGGATATAATCTTTTAAATTTTTTTCTCATTTTTTCTGAGGTTGTTGAGATAGTAATATCCTTTGGTGTTCTTCTAGTACGGGAGCGAGCCCATGTCATGGTTTCAAAAGAAAATCAGAGGAAGCATGTTGTCCTTGAATGACCATATATCAAAAGAGATGAATGAATTGAACTTGATTAGATGCCAACGTATACCAAAGCGTCCAGGTGCAGACTGGCGTGACCTGCCAGATGAAAAGGTAAACCTATTTTTGTATTTTGTTTATTACTTTGCTAGTTATGTGTATATATCTGATCAGTATAATGTATTATCATGAATAAGGTCAAATTGTCAACTGGACAAATGGTGGATCTGATACCTTGGTGCCTGCCAAACACAGCAAAAAGGCACAATCAGTGGAAGGGACTATATGGAAGGCTGGATTGGGATGGAAACTTCCCTACTTCCATCACAGATCCCCAACCTATGGGTAAGGTGGGCATGTGCTTTCACCCTGAACAAGATAGGATTCTTACAGTCCGTGAGTGTGCAAGATCTCAAGTAAGCTCCTAATTTCCTTTCGTTGGACTTAATATAGTACATAATTCTTCTTCCATTTAAGCTGTTAGACAATATTCTCATTTTCTTCAGATACGCAATTCACCATTTAAGTTGTTAGACAATATTCCCATTTTAAGTTACCCAAAGAACTCTGTTGCTACAATAAGATCAGCACATCAAAGAATTAGCATCTTTAAGGTGTTTGTCTGACCATTGATGTTGGTTTGACCATGCCCATCAATTTCATGCATGCAGGGGTTTCCGGATAGCTATCGCTTTTCTGGTAACATACAGAACAAGCATAGGCAAATTGGAAATGCTGTGCCACCTCCACTAGCCTATGCGCTTGGAACTAAACTGAAGGAAGCTATTGAGGCAAAGCTATCTTCAGTTTAAACAAATATGAGGCCTTTAATCAACATGCCTCTCTACATTCTACTTACATGTCTCTTGACGTCGTCTGCCATGGTAAAGCAAATTTGGATTGATCGCTATTTCATTTGGCTTCTGACACATGAAACCAAAGTGTCACTGAATCCATAGAAGCACCACCATATTAAACTTCCAATTCCCGTGATGTTCCTTTTGATGAAAACAGTTGAGATTGAATCCCTGAGAGAACTGTTGCAATCTTTTGGAACAGACCTGTAAAAGAGAGCAGAGGCCTTTTGCAAAGTTTCTTGGCAGTAAACATTGGTTGAATCTATGAAAGAAGTATGTGCGCGGCCCAGGTTCCTTCTCAGGTACATTAAGAAGTTGCCCCATTTTTGTGAGAACTGCTTAATTTCTCTAGATCATTGATACAAGAACAACACGACTATTAACAACTGTTGTTGTTTGCTGTATGCAAATTTTAATGTAATTGAGGTCTTTTTGTTTAGAACTTGATCTCACCCTGATATGCCTGCCATACAATGTCATGGTGATTGTAAATATTGTCATTGCTTTTTCGATCAGTCATTATGTAATAGCAACAATAGCAAGTTAATTATGACAATTTGTATGTTTGGTGTTGGATATGGTAATTATTTATTAGAGCACATTAAAGTATAAACCATAAAAATTTTCATTTAAATGATTACATCTACACAATTCCGCCTTAGCAGACACAGCGGTCTACAACACAAGATTATACTCAATGGAAAGCTACTTTTCATAACTACAAGACGATCTAAACGTTGTTACAATCAAGAAATCACAGCTCAAGTTATACTCATTCAAAATGAGGGAAGAAGCACTCACCACTTCATCACGACTTGCCGCTCCAAACTCTTGAGCTTTACGCTTGCGTCAAAGTCTCAGCCATTTGGACCGTCGATGGTCGACGATCTAAGGGTCCAAATTTGAATGGAGGAGCGCTAACAATCCGCGTGTGGCATCCGCGGACCAATCAGCTTTCAGCATTCTCCCCCTTCTTTCCACTATTTAAACGCACTCCCCGTCCGCCGCTTCTCATCTCGTTGCAGACCCTTTCTCCGCTCTATTTTCACCTCGTCGAGTTCGCGAAACCCTAGCGATGGCGTCCGAGAAGCCGGTCGTCGACTCCGCTCAGGCGGGTGCCAAACCAGCGAAGACGAAGAAGGCGAAAATCACCACAGCGCCTAAAGCCAAGAAGCCTGCCGCGCACCCTCCCTATGCTGAGGTGAGAATCCCATCCGTTTCCTGCACTAATTCTCTTCGACCTGCTGGTTTTCGTGGATCTGAGATCTTGTTATCTTGTGGCCCTTTAGATGATCAAGGAAGCCATTTCGGTCCTCAAGGAGAGGAGCGGATCGAGCCTGCACGCAATCGGGAAGTTCATCGAGGACAAGCACAAGGCACACCTCCCGTCCAACTTCCGCAAGATGGTCCTCCTCCAACTCAAGAGGCTCGCCGCTGCCGGGAAGCTCACCAAGGTGAAGGGGTCCTACAAGCTCTCAACCGTGTCCGCTCCGGTGAAGACCAGGTCCGCGGCCGCCCCAAAGAAGCCGGTCATCGCTCCGGCCAAGCCCAAGTCTAAATCGAAGCCTGCCGTCGTCGCCAAGCCCAAGGCGAAGACGGCCGCTGTGAAGCCTAAGGTGGCGGCGAAGCGCAAGTCCCCCGCGAAGCCGAATCTCAAGTCGGCGACACGGCCCGCAAAGGCCGCTGCGAAGCATGCCCCCGGGAGGGTGGCGGCGGCTTCAACGAAGTCCGGCAACGCGAAGGCGCCGAAGGCCGTGAACTCGGCGGTCAAGAAACCGACCGCCAAGAAGGCGAAGAAGTAGATATCAATCTGTATATATTCTCATAATTTTATGAGGTTTCTTCAAATCAAATTATCCTGCAATGATTGGGTGGATAATAGAGGGTGAAGTGGTGGATGTCACTTTGACAACTTCTTTAATATCAGTCCCGTAACCAATTGATTGCTTCTTTAGAAAAATAAGAATGATTATGCAGCCACCGAATCTTCTATAGCCCTTAGCCTTGACCAATGAAAGTATTATGTTGGCCAGTGAGAGTTCCTCTTTTCATCGTATCCCATCCCTCCCTAAAACCTAGGAGAATGATTATTTTACTTTATTGTGACGGATCTATAGTTGATGTTAATATAGGTATTAACTTCATTTTATTGCCTCTAATTACCACTTGCAAGCCGAATGTATAGCACTAACCACTAGGACACGCTTTACTTAAGAAGTTATGTTAGGAACACTTAGATCCAACTTCTTTATATGTTTTCATATTGAGTTATCATATATATATATATATATATATAT